TGAAAAGGAGAAGTGTTTCCTGGTAACAACCATAATCAATGCCATTTAAAAACTGAGATATTTGACATCTTTATAGATTACTCTTTTGTCACTACTAAAGTTTCCTTTCCCAAAAGCTGCTTTCCTGGAGACAATAATTATTATGCCCTGTGTTACTTTCAAAACGGTCATACTGTGGCATGAAATTCAGCAAAACAGAACCAAAACCACAGAATCCCATGAAAACATTGTAAAACGGACTTCATACCTTATGGTACAGTTGTTCCATGCCCAGCAGATCACAAGTGCCTCTAAAAAGCAGTGGCTGTGTGCAAATACTCTGCCCTGTGACACACAAGGAAACCAAAGACCAAGAAAAGCGTGGCACGTATCACAGCCCGTCACACCAGAAGGGGCAGGATGGGTGAAAACTGGGGTTTTATTTCAAACAGCTCCCAAACAGAACAAAGCATGAAGCACAATTCCAAAATGCTGATACTTCTGGTGAACAACCAACAGCTCCATCCTGCAAAGTTTGGACCCCGATGATGCGGTTCCCAGAAGTAATCCTCACCACCACCCCTCAAGTTCTTGTTCGGCTGTTCATGTAAAAGGACTTGCTCAGGCACAGAAGCATTTTGCAGGATCATAACTTAAACACTGTGAAGCAGTGGAGTAACACCACAAGAGACATTACAACAGCAGGATGCTTCTTCCCCATTGTGATTACTTCAAAGCTGCTCTTTTTATTAGTAGGGCAGTGTATCATTTTGATTTATCCTTTTTTGAAAAAAAAAAAATTAAAAAGTAAGGCTCGTTTAGGAAAAAAAATTTTACAGGCAACTATAAAAAGCGGGTTTGCTCTTGTTAAAGAGCATCTTTTACCTTCCCCGTTTGCAGTTTTTAACTGTGATTAAACCAAAACCAGGAGGCACATTCTGTAATCTAACCCAGATTGCAGAGGGAATTGCTGGGTACATGGTTCTCTGGGGCTGAAGAACGGGAGACGCACGGAGCGATGGTCTGAAATCAAGCTGTCATCAGTTTCCTTCCCAAAACCCTTCACTGGGGAAATCTGAGTATTTCCCTTATTCCCACTTCTTAGCTCTAGACTGTTATATCACATCCACACGCAGCTGTCCCCAGTCCTTTATCTTCCTGAGAGAACCAGGGTTGTTGGGAGATGGTTTACACTGCTCCTTGAAAGATGCTCTCCTGCACATACACTCTGATTTTTCAGTTAGATCACAGTTAAGCAATTGAGTGATTTCTGTTATTCCTGTGGAACTGACTCAGAAGCACAGGATGCAGAGCAGGGGCTGGCAGCTTGCAGTGTTCAGCAGAAGAACTCCAAAATGCCCAAGTGGACATTAAAGCACTTGCTGACACCATACAGGTCAAAAGGAGCAGCACAGCCCACACATTTTAAATTATCTGGCCCAAAATGTTACTTTTTACTTTTTCTAACTCGTCCTGACAATGTCTTCTCGGGGGGGGGAGGAACCCACAACATAAAAAAGGGCGAAACCTAAACAAACAAAACAAACAAACATAAAAAAACCAATCAAACCACCCCCACCCAAAAAACTCAGCGTTGCCTGTCTTTGGAAAAATCCAGCATTATCCATCAAACCACCCTGCTGCTCCGCAGATGAACCCTATCCTGCTCATGGATACCTCCTACTTACTCCCATGACTCAAGCCACCCATATGCTGAAGCAACCACAAGGTAACACCCTGAACAGAAAACACGTTAAACAAAAACAGCAACAAAACTTAAAACACTTTTCTTTCCCCCAGTGGTGAAAATGGGAAATTGATCAGTCAGAAAAGATGAATTAGCAACCTTCTCCCATGCCCACCTACATCTACTGTAAGAGTCCCAAATGTAGGGAAATTACACTTTTCCTCTTTCCCTCCCTATGTTCTTGCCCTCTGCAACAGGAAGAGGAATATGCATGAAAAAAGGCCTAAGTAGCTCAAAGGAAAAAAGAAAAAGAAAAAAAAAGTGCTTCAACAGTTTGCTCCTGCAGGGCAATGCACAGGCAGGATTTTAAGCTGGTATGAACCCTGTCAAGTGGCACCAACCTCACTCGTGGGACCACGAAGGACTCAAACACTTCATAAGTCCCTTCCACAGGCAGCAGTGGCAGCAGCACAGCAATACTACAGCTTGTAGCTCTCCTTTATACCCTGTGAATCCTCCTTCTCCCCTCTCCAAACCTGGGTCTGTGTAACAGACCTTCATTTCATGCCTGCCAAACATTAACAACCTCTTTTTTTTTTTTTTTCCATCGAGAGAGAAGAATTGCAGCATTAACAAACAGAAAAATAAAAAAGGTAATTTATAACCTGCTGCTCCACTCTGTCTGTATTCACTGGTGATGAACAAACACATCCTACAGTCTGCAGGACAGACCTAGCACAGATTGAGGTGTTCATTAACATAACTTCATGGCAATGAAAGGTGCCATCACCCTAGGTAACAAGCTCACAAAAGAAAACGTCACTAGTCCAAGGGCACGCAGCCTACTTTTAGTTTTCAGAAGAATGGACAGAACGGGATGCACTGAAAAAAATCCCAGTAGGAACTGTCTTAAGACAACTGCATGTACATCTCTAAAGTAGAGAATGGGAGAGAATTAAAAAAGAGAATTAGCTTTTAACACTACAGAAATCATTGCTTTAATGCTAGTAACCTTGGGTGCACATATGTCTGTCTCCACAAGTGGCTTTGCAGCATAAAGGAATGCTTCAATTCCCTCTGATCCCAGCTGTGGTATCTCAGAGCGATTATTTGAAAACTAAATTTTGATTAACAAATTCCAGCTTAATTAACAAGTACTAGCTCAAAAAAGTAATTAATATATTTTTAGTGGGCAATTCCTAACCTAACTTCAGTGCCACTTAGCAATGGATAAAATGAAAAATCAGGCACTTGTTAAGTAGCAGAATTTGAGCTTTCAGGCACCAGGAATTCCCAAGTTTGAGGATTCACTGCCTGAACCCAGCATTTGTAACACCTCCTTGAAATACAAACTATTAACCCAAGCAACCGTGGTGAAACTGCTGAATAAGAACCAGGCATTTATTGTTAGCCAGGCATGCTCACAAACAAACACCCCACACTCACACTCTGGCACAGGACAGACCAGCCCAGTCTTCAGCACCATCCCCAAAACAACCACCTCTGAGACGCGACTGAACGAGCAGCATTTGCTCAGGAGAACTAAAAAAAGATGCTTGTCTTGAGATTTTTTTTAAGAAACACTCAGCTTCACACTGTCAAAGAACGCTCTGGTTTATCCTGTGCCTCCAAGGTGCACAGAAAAACAAAACTTTCAAAGCCTGAAGTGATATTACAAGTTAGAAAACACCTTGAAGACCAGAAAGAAGGTGGGACAGAGGGTTGTTACGCGTTTTTATTTGTGTGGTGAACAGTTTTTTGGTGGTGATAGTGTTCAGTTCACGCATTTTTAAACTCACCCTTCGCGCTCTGATGTTTCTGCTGCTGGAAATAATCTTTAGAGCCTCTAGCGCATCGCAGCTCCTGCGCCCTCGGCAGAATCGGGATCCTCTCGAATATGCTGGGTCGCTTGGGGATGAAATCTAGCAGAGGTGCTGACATTTCAGGGGGGCTCTGCTGAGGCTCCGCGTGGTCACCGCCGTTGCTGACAGACACTTTAAAGGACATCTGAGGACTCAGGTGGGCTTTAGCAGCGCTGGGACGAGTCGCCCGCGGCAGATCCTTCTGGGGCGCTCCCTGGCATTTGTCGGTCAGCTCGAAGCGGGCGCTGCCGCCTTTCTGCCCCGCGGCGAGCTCAGAGTGCATGTCCGCGGGCTGTCCTGCACCGAGCGGCACACGGGCTGTCAGCGCGGGCTGCCCCAGCCTTCAGCCCTCAGCCCGCCGCTCCCGCCTCAGCCCCGCGCCCCAACGGCCGGTAACCGCCGCCCGTGCGGGGACAGGCTCAGCCCGCAGCCCGCACCCCCGCCCCGCAGCCCGCCCGCCTCAGCCCCCGCCCGCGCTCTCTCTCACACACACCGGCCGGACGGCGGAGACCCGGCGCGCTCGGACCCCGGCGGTGGCTCGTCTGTGAGGGACGGGGCGGCCGGCGCCGCGCGTCGGCTTCGCTCCCTCTCTAGGCAACACCGCCGGGCAGCTCGGAGCCGCTCCCGGGAAGGCGAGCGCCGCCGGAGGGGCGGGGAGGGGGTCCGGCACACGGGCCAGCTGCGCGGAGGCCGATGCCTTTCAGCTGAGGCATCCGAACAGCGGCCGCCCCGGCAACCGCGGACGCGGCGGCAGGGCGGGTTCGCCACCGCCGGGCTCGCCGCGGCCCCCGTGTCACCGGCCCCGCAGGGAGGGAGAGGGGGGAGAGCGCAGGCGGGCGCGGTGACAGCCGCGCCCCCGCGCTCCTACCTGGGAGGGGCCGCCCGGGGGGACGCGCTGCCCGCCGGGTCCCGCCGCCGCGCCGGGCGCATGGGCTCAGCCCCGCTCCCCCGCCTCAGGGCCGGCTGCCAGAGCGCAGGCGGCCCGGGCCATTACCCTGGCGCGGCGGCGGGGCCAGCCGGGGCGGGCAGGGGGAGGGCTGTGCCGCCGGGGCCGCCCCTCGGGGCATTGACAGCGGGGTCCGCCCGCGGGCCCGGCCCGGCCGCCCCTCACGGAAAGCGGCAGGGGGTGGGTGGGCACCCCGTGCTTGCCGCGGGCGGCGGCAGAGGGTCAGCGCTCCCTGCGCACCGGGGCCCGCACCTTCCCGGTGCCCGCCCCGGCGGGGAGAGCTCCCTCTGCTCCTACACTTGTCTCCCGAGAGGTCTGTGATTTCCCTTCCCTCTGCCATAGGCCTGGATCCTTCCCCTCTGCCCACGCGTGCGGGGGTTCCTGACCCCTGACACCCCGCTCGGGGTCCGGCGGCCCCGGCCCCGGGCACACAACCTCGTGGGCACCACCAGCCGCCCCGCCGCGGAGCCGCCGGCAGCGCCCTATAAACAACTCGTGTGCGAAAGCCACAGCCGCTCTGCAACATGTCACGGAGGAGCAGCGGGAGAGAGCAAAGCCTTGCCAAGGGCATGGGCCCGGGAAGCAGGAGATGGGTCAGAGGTGGGTACAACCTGGCCAAGACATCTCCCCGATGACGCAGTTCCAGGTGCACTCAGTGCTTCTGTAAAAAGTGGCCATGCATCACTCCCTTCCTGCCCTACAGGTGCAGGAGCTGGCCCATGCCAGCAGAGACAATTAAACTAGCTCAGAGCAAGCACCACAGCACAGTGACATTTGCGCTGGCTCCTCCTGGGCCAGCTCGGATCTGGAAGCAATCTAGTTGGGTTTATTAGCTTGGGCCTGGTTCCAAGCAAATGCAGGCTGAGCCATGATGTGCAGCTTTGCACCAGCAAGCTTTACCAGCCCACAGTTTTCTGGCTCGGGGGTGTCTGCACCCTGTTGCCCTGCATGCTGCTGTCAGCACAGGTGCAGCACAGCAGGTCTGTAACACACCAGGACAGTTCAAAGATAGCAGTGATTCGGAGTCAGCCCTGATTTACATGGGTGTAAATCAGACAGACAGCTGGCTGGAAATCTTGCTTGTTCGCAGCAAACCTAAAGGAGAGGCTTGGGAGATTTAGCACAAGGAGGAGGGACAGCTACTGAACTGGCATCTTGCTACACCCCTCCTGAGGAGCGTCCCGCAGTGAGACAAGATCTTCATCTTCTTGTAGCACAGATGCTGCACAGAATGCCTCACTCGCAGTATTATCCAGACCCTTAATAATATCTTTCACCCTGCGGAGTACAGGAACGGTCAGGACAGGAGGGCATGACTTTTTCTTGGCAAATGCTATGAGTGTTGTGGATTTAGTGGGAGGGAGGCAACTCTCCATAAAAGACACAAGATCTTGAGATGGAACAAGCAGTTCTGGGAGCACCAGTACTAATGAGTCTCATTTGCAATGCCTCTCCTCATTCCTGCCCAGTGTGGATGCCCTGAGGTCTACCAAAGAAGGAGCTTGCCAGCCTTTCCCTTCAACAATGGCAGTAATAGGGTCTTTTTTTTCTGTAAAGTCATATCTTAAATTGTTAATAGCTCTCTGTCAAATGTGGTTAAAAATGAGTAAATCCCCTCAGAATATCTCAGTGAGAACAAGAAGCTACAAAAAGGGAGAAATCCTGACCTTAAGTCTATAGGAAACTAAATATCAACTTGGTGGTACAAATACTGAATTGGAATGTTTTTATAGATCTCCAGGATAGCACCAGTGTAAAAATTTTCAGTGTCTGTTGTCACTGTGTGGTTGTACTCTACAACCACCTCTCAGTGCTCTGCTAACCTACGTCCCCCATTCCCCAGTCCCCTCTGTTCCTGGGGTTCTCAGGACCGAGCTGTTCTTTCTCTTCAATTTGGAAATGCTAAAAGCACCTGGCAGTGCTACCAGAAGCAGTAATTATTTAAGACACAAATACACTGTGGCAACAGTCTAAACCTCAGTTGATGTGAAGAGGCAGTAAAATTTACTGAAGGAAATATTATTCCAGAACACAGTGTAACCAAGTGTAATCCTGCTGCTTCCAGTGCAGGAAAAAAATAGTGTTGAGATGGATTCTGAACATGGGCTCATCTTGTTCAAATTATTACAGCTATATTAATACACACTGCCCAAATATCTGAACTAGAGAGGTTTCCTAGAAAACGGGTAGTTTTTAATATATTGGGTACCTTCCTAGAGGGATTTTCTTCTGTGGTTAGGGATTTTCCCACAGCAGGCAGGAAAAAGGACAGCTCGTTAACCCACATCACTCTGCGTTTTCTACCTGGGGCCGTCTGAACCACTGTTTATTTCTTTTTTTCACCAGTACCAATATCCAGAATATTCCCGCAAAATACCGGCAGGTGCCGCCACTGGCTCAGCAATCGCCCAGGGCTGGGCTGCTCTGCGGGCAGGAACGGGCACGGAGCCTCCTCGGTATTCTGGGCACCCTCTAAAAGCCAGGAAGGCTTTGGACTGAAGCACATCAGAGCTCCAAGCTCCAACAGCACATAGGGTGAAGGCCCCTCACAGCGAGATGAATTCCCTGTGGCAGATCATCTCCCAGAGATGCAGACCTCATGGCTCAGGCTGCAGGTACCCACGTTGCTCCCGTAGGAAATGAGGCCCCACAGATTCTCACCACTGTTACCTCAGGTTCAGGTGAGGCATTTGGCAGCTGCCCTGTCTTTGCTGGGACTGTGCAGCTGGGGATGCCCATCCCTGGGTCTGAGCAAGAGAAACTGGTGGTGGAGGGACATCCTCCTGCAGACCTGGATGTGTCTGATAGAGATTTGACTCCTACAGGTGTTCCAAAGCAGTGACTTGGCTCCTCTGCCAAATCCACAGATGTGAAAGGAACAAGTGTGGGAGAAGCAAGTGCTCCTTGAATAACTACTAATGGAAGAGTTAAGCGGTCCCCTTTCTCTCCCTGATGAATCAGAAGACACTTCATATGTTTTGGTTCTGGAACAAAGGCCAAGCAAGTGCAATCGTGGCTGCTAAGACTGTTTTATGCCCTGGGTCAGCATGACTTTGTTGAATGCACAAGCTGTACAGCAAACACTGATTCACCCAATGTTGTCACTACATCCATGAAAAAGATGGGTGTCTCCTCTCTTTGTGTCCTTGTGAAAACCAGCCATTGGCCTCTCTCTCCATGACAGCAATACTCTCCCTTTAGGAGAACGAGGGGAAGATTTCCCCATCTTAGCCTTTTTATTCAACAGTCCTGGTTGTCAAGGGCTGTGATCATGGGTCATAACATGGCCCACAGCCCAGTTTTCTCTTTCCTTTGTTAGTGAAGTCACCATCACCAAAGCAGACCTTCCAGCTGTGGAAGACAGGCCATCTTCAGTCCCTGAAACTAGTCCCTGGGGCTTGCTTCATTTCAAATCAGTTATGAAAGGTGAGGTTGCAATTTCAGAAGAATGCAGCTGCTTGCCTGAATACCCTCTGACTAGGTCACGAGGGCAGGACACCCACTTGATAAGTAACCAGAGACTTGCCCATCTGCCCATTCACCCCTAGTTGGTGACCAAAGAAAGAAAATCGGGTAGTAGGCTAAGGCCAGCTCAGGCTGGGGTGAAATTGTACCAGTAAGGAGAACAAGTTTAAAAAGGTCTGATACATCAGTTTTTCCTTGCTGACACCAGCCACAATCAGGTCAGTGCCACAACAGTGTTCACAGGGTCTACAGGTGCTTTTGCAGACACGCAGCCTCCCGGCTCTGTGTTCACAGCTGCACAGGCAGAGGCACAGCTGTCCCGCCCTGAGAGCTCAATACACAGGAGGGAGGAAAGGACATTGCACGAAGGGGACTCCAGTTCACCAAATCCAGCCTTCCCAGTGTGCTCTTTACCTTTACCAGGAACCCATGGCTGTAACTGCTGTGCTGTGCCTCGTCACAAACCGGATCTTCGAGAAACTCGGAGCAGCTGAAACCTCCAGTTCCCCCAGCACTTCTGTGGGAGGAGAGGAATGAAGCAGAACGGATACAGGTAAGGTGAGCTGTGCAGAGCAAACAAGCAGAGGTGAAGTGTTAATCTCTAATTCATATATTGAAATCTTCTATTCCAGCAGGCAACAAAATGAAATTTTAAAGGGACACAATTGAAATTGTAAGAAATTTGTGTAACTGCTGCAGTGCAGACAGAGGTGGGAGGTGTTACCCTAAGTATTCTGTTAATATAGGGCAAAACAGGCTCTCTGGTAGGAGAATAGCAAACTTGCTTATAAATAACCTGGTCACAAACTAGCTGTCAATTTACACAAAACATTTATTTACAAAGGCATGCCAAGTCCAGACTTGTTTTTATTTTCATTTACTGCACTACAGATAATAAAAGAGAAGCAACCAAACAAAATCTGAGCCAAAGGGATTGTGTCTGTGAGTGTGCCCGTTTCTTAGAGATTGCCTATATCCCTTTAAGGCAGCACAAAGCCCTTCTTTATAGTGGTTTGAAAATGACCTCCTAAATTGAGGCAGCAGGGTCAAACTGACCACACATTATCTAGCAACATACTCAACTATTGCCTCATAACTTACAGATTTGTTTATGGCTCTTATAGTTAGAAAAAAGAAATTCCTCAGATCACTCTGACTTATCTTTTATAAACAAGCCTCTTTTCAATAGTATATTTTGGGAAAACCATACAGTAATCTTGAATGCCACTTTGTCTTGCAGAGACTGCGAGAAATGACAAGCATCTCCAAAAGCCACTGTAACACTACAGATCCCTCCTGCCTCCCCAGTTAACTGACAGATCATTCCAGTCAACTTTGAGGAAAATAATTCTAGAAAAGGGTCCAACCAGCCTCCATTCAGGACGTGGTTGTTACACCTGCAGTTACCTTCCTCAAACATTCATCTCTACTATTTCTCTGCATCATTCTCTAAGTAAATCCCTTCTCACACCATGTCTACACAACCTAAGTAGTAAAATAAACTTCAGTCATAAACAAGCAAACAAACAAACCCCCCCACAAAACAGCACAGCTGAGGAATCTTTAGTTTGTAAAATCTAATCCTTGGCACTGGGACATGCCAGGACTAGAATTGCTGGTACAAACTCGTCTCATGCCTACTCTAAATGAGTTACAGAACTGGTGCTATAACATGGCTCCCAGTTATTTTGCCTGGGGCTCCATATATTCAGTGCACTGGAGACAGTGATTGCTGAACGAGCAGCTAGTCACTCTTCTTTCTGTTTTCTCTTCATTGGCACAGTGTCTGGGCCACACATGGAATGTATTTACTGCACATCAGCCAAGCCCTGCGCAGAATACAGTTCATTTACTCCAGGGCATTTCTTTGGTGTCCATCACTGCAGCAGCCTACTGATTTGGACACAAATGTTTTGTTATCATCACTGGAGGTGAGAGACGGTGGAGTTGGGCTAAGCCTCATTTTACAACAGAGGCCCAGAAGCCAAAATCTTCATTTTGAGTGCTAAACTTGTGATAAAAACGAAATGCTTCCCTTACCCCTTGCTCCATTTAGCATTTCCCATCCTTGTCTGTGGTAAAACACATTTCCAGTTCCATCAAACTCAACCCTTGGTGTTCCAAACAGAGCATGCGGAATCTGGGAGACTTGCAAAGTAGCGCTTGTGAAGAGCTGAAGTGCTGTACAGGATCTCTGTGCAGGACACAGAAAGGACAAACCAATTTACCTGGCAGTGTTCAGCTTGCACTAACCACCAGAGTGGACTTTCTCTTCCTTCAGCACTCTGTGGTTGCTGATAAAGCCGTCTCAGAACTGACTGCCAACATCTGCAAAGACAACAGTCCCTCAGTACCCAGCTTTGAGCTGCAGCCCTGTGCTCAGCCCAAAACTTTGTACCACCACTGACAAGGTCCACAGCCCAGTGCTTCCCCAAACCTGCCCTCAGCAGTGCCCTCTGCCCATGAATAGGCAGGGAACCCAGTGGTTTACAAAGCTGCTGCCCCATCTCCCTGGTCCTCAAAGCCTGCCCTGGAGGCGGCACCCAGCCTGTCTCTTGAGCTGAACCTTCTAACATTAGTAAGCCTACAACGGGAACTTGCTGAGCTGAGAGGAGAATGATGCCTGCATATAACTCTCAACAATCTTTGATTCACAGAAAGCTATACAATCCCGCTCCCAGTTCCTTCAAAATTCCCTCCAGGGCTCCTGTCATACCTTCTCAGACAAGATGCAGTTAAATACAACAGCCCACCCCAGCCCTGTGTTTTAGTAGTCAGATTTAAAAGTTGAGTTATTCAAGAAGTGAAAGGCAAAGCCTGGAATTTTTTGTGCATTTTGGGCAGGGGCAGGAGAGGAACCTAAAGTACTCTCAGCACTGGTTATTTGCTGGTTGCATGAGTACACACATGTGCTTAGGCCATAGTTTTCTCTGAAATTCTGACTGTAAGAACTGACTCTTTAGGGTGATAAAAAATAGAAAAAAGGAGGGAACTCCTGTACCACCACCACCTATTCAAAGAATCAGCCAGTGGATCCAGCAGGCCACCCAGGGAACTATTCCCACTGGAATTTGTGTTTTGTTCTCATGGCAGGCTCCAGAAATACCATATTCATCTGTCTCCTGCATGATTAGCTCTATCATAGTCCTGAGATTTTTGCAAGGACAGGAAGGTGAGGTCTTCTCTAGATTATTTTTTGTTTTCTGAAATCAGGATCGTGCAGGTTTTGTTCTTTTTCAGGTTGTTTCTCAGACACAAGGGAGCTGCACCATTTGTTTATACAACAGGTTTGTCCAAAGCCAGGCTGCCCAATGCAAAGCTCCACCAGGAGCCTGCAGCAAGGGAAGGCAACGTTCTAATGCGAGAACATCCCCTTACAACACAAGAGCCTGGCAAAGCCACATTCCAGCTCTGTCTGCAGCACCCAAAGGCATTTGATCCACACAGCAAATACACGAACACCGTACTGGTGATGAAAAATACCAAAGACCACAGCGGGAGAAAGGTACATGGGGAGTGAGGAGGGTCCTCTGTTTGCAGTGTCCATGATGATTCCACACAGACCTTTATGTTTTTTATTGCATCTTTGTAGGTAGGGATGGGAGAAGTAGGAGCCTGGCTGCCATGGGCAGGTGAAGCCCTGCAGCTGCAATACACCTGCTTGAACAGGGAAAGCACTGCAAGCTGCCATCATTCATCCCCTGGGGAAAGGGGACAGCACTGCACATGGCAAGAAGCTCCTCCACAGCCAAGGGTGCTCCTGGGGCCACCTCATCTGCAGTCACATTCACCCAGCCCCTCAGAGCATCAGGCACTCACCTCACACGGAGCTCCCATCCCAGAGGTGGCCACTGGCAGGAGCTGGGAGAGGTCTGGCATGCACACAGCCCACAGCCTGCTCCACTTGCCTGTGACCAAACAGGTACCAGAAAATTCATCAGCAAGAGGCTGGCATTTGCACGGCCGCAGCTGGACACCCTCGGAGCCGTAGGCATTGGCAGGTGGGAAGATGGCTGCTCCAGGCCCGGGGACACCGAGCACAGCACACACAATGCAGCCTCTGTTCACAGCACAAGCAACAGAATCAAAACCACTTCATTTCAAGGGGGCATTCAGGCCCAGAGCCACCACTGGCACAGGGACAGGTCTCCGAAGTGGCAGAGTGCTCCTGTGGATACAGCAGCATGCAACAGCTCCAAGGATCAGGGCCACTGCATTTGTCCACCCACAGGCTGAATTCCAAAGCTCTAGCTCAGTAAACTAAGCAGGATATACAGGGTTTTTTTCAGACTTATAACGGATTGCCTAAGAGCTAAAGCCTGTATTTCATTACTCTATTGTAGCAGGAACACAGGTCTGAACCATCAACCTTGTACCTCTCCACAGCTGCAGTGGAAATAATTTGAGGTACTCTTGAATGCAGCTCACCTATGGGAGAGGCAGGTTGTTCACAAGGTTGCCAGAATGCTGTTTCACTTGTGCATGCAGCAGGCAATCCAGCAACAAGGTGCAGTTCAGCTTTGAGATGATTAAACAGATGAGAAATATTACCAGGCTTGAGGGATCCAGTTTAACTGCAGTTCCATAGAAACCAGCAGTAAAAAGGCTGTATTTTTTTCCTCATTACCCAGAATGCAGAACTGAACTCAAGAGACTCTTCCCCTACCTCACAGAGGCTTCACAGACTGATTCTTTTCATGTTAAGACAGAACTATACAAAAGGACTTGAAACACCAGCAGTTTGCCAGGGGATTATAATTATTCCCAAAGCCAAAACTAGAATAAGATGTTATCCCTGTTTGCGTTGTGTGAGCCCGTTACTGCCTCTTCAGAGGGCACCACCTAACATACACTTTTTATTCCTGTACACTTAACAGTAGCTCATGCTGATGAATTGAAAGATGCACTTTTAAGTAAAGGTTTAAAAAAAAAAAAGAAGTCTTCAGCTCTTTAAGAATTGGAGCTTTTAAAGAAACCACAAAGCAATCAGCTTTTGAAAGCTCTTCTGCCATACAGAGAACACCATGAATCACACACATTAGCAGATGTCGTGCAAATCTCTTGTTGCAACATGAGGAGGACAGACCTCAACCACTCTGGCATCAAAAATGTCATCTCCATTTTAAGCCTGCTGCTGACAACTCTTAACACTGTTAATTACAATTTGCAGCTTATAGTTGTGGGACTGTTGCAGAAGATACCACAGCAATAATATTGAACCTGTTTAAAAGTGTGATAAAATTTCATGGAAACTTTCAGCTGCAGTATTTGAGTCAACAGTTACACCTGAGGTATCAGCTAAAGCAACATTTAATTCCAGGTGCACTTTGCAATGCCAGAAAATAAGCAAATTAAATTATTTAATAAGGCAGGCAGGCAAAAGGCTTTGAAATAATAATCAAACCTGTGACAGAAGCTGAGCTTGGCAAAACTTTAAGAGACTTTAAGCTTAACCTTTGAATACAGTGGAAGGCTGTCCATCACCTTGTGTGTTTGCTGTGAGCCATCTCAATACAAAAAGAACAATACAGTTCTTATTTCCACTATCAAACTTAACACCTGCAGTGTCTGCACTACAAGAAAATTACCTGTCTCTGTACTGAAGAAAGCAATATGCAGGTCTCAGTGGAGATTGGGGGTTTTCTCTTTTACCCTAAAGGGTTATTACTACACAGCCACTCACTGTGAGCTGGCCATTTTATCACATCATCATAGCTGACACCAGGGCCATCTTCGGGTCTTGGCTCCTCTATAAACAAAACACCACCACAATAAAACCCATATGACTAACAGCACTGAAGAGAATGGAAAGAAAATTATAATACTGTTTCCCTTTATCACACTAAATTAATTTGCAAGACCATTTAGCTCACTGTTCTCACCTTCATACTCCACATACACATTTTCTAGTATAGATATCAGAGGAACTGGAGACTGTTTAAAAACTGAGTAGTTAATTTGCAAATTATTTGGGACAGGTTTTCAAATAAAAGCTTTTAAAAAGTAATACTTTTCACCAGTAATATATGCTATTTTAAAAAATTTGGCTATGATGCAAACATCCTTCCTACCCCCCTGCTTGGGAGTTTTATTAAATGCAGTAATGTTTCCTCTATGTTTCAGCATAGATCAGAACTTAGTTTTCTAGGTCACCTTAAAGATAAAATCTTTAAGTTTTCAAGCAGTATTTGTGTGTTAATAATGCCTTTCTGCAGACTTTTCTACTCTGAAGGAGTATTTCCAGCTTACAGAAGAGCAGCACATTTTATTCCTGGGCACATCTGTTTCCTACTCCTAAACTACACACTTGATCTGCACTAAAAGTGTTATCAACTAAATTTATGAAGCACTTAAGCACACTAAGTATCTATGTAAATCTCTGCTCAGCCATTTAACAGAAAGGGTAGGGAAAGAACACAGTGTGAAAAATAATGAAAGATCTGAGTGTCAAAGTAACTCTGGTAATCTCAAATGTCATTGCCTTACCCAGAAGAACTGGCACTTTCTCGTTTGTGACATTAAAAGAAGGCAAGATGAATTTTACAAGTTTTATTATACAAAAGAAGATCCAACCCCCCCTAAGAGCTCTTCTACAGTTCTAAAAGTTTTGTTCTGCAACTTGTACTTCCATGTGCTTCTCCAAAAAGACAAAATAAAAAGACTCATTAGTCTCACTTTCTTCTTAGCAAGAGTCTTGGAAAAACCCAACCGTAGCTGCATCAAAATCTGTTATTTATTCTTTGTATTCCAAGAATTGCTGAAGTCTTTTCTTATGTTCTGTAGACACTTGCACTGCACTAAAAACAAAAGCAGAACATTTTACATTAAGTGTAATACACCACAAAAATAAAGCCTCATGCCAAAATTGAGTACATTGAAATCAATTACACTGAAGCTAAATTTTAGAAAACCCAGCTGTATGAAAAACCTATGTTCCAAGTCAAAGAAGTGTATTAACCCTTAAAACTGTCAATTCTCCTCCTACTACTAAAAGACACCTGTCCCAGGACACCTTGTCCATTTACTTACCTTTAAACACACAGAGCAACTGATTAACTTGCAAGGATGACTTAAGCAAGAAAGAAATCTCTTAAAATGATCTCTCCTGTATATCGAGCACTTCCAAACTGAGGGACATTTCATGCCCACAGGGAGAGATGGGCAGATGCTGCAGGAAGTTTCAGTCCCACATATTCAGAGGCCAAGTATCAAAGTCTGCCTGCTGTGACAGTAGCTGAGAAAGAGCCTTTGGGTGACCAGGCAGCAAGGGAATTCCATTATTTGGACCCTTCATAGGATTCTCTCCCTACAGAACAATTGTCTCTACTTGATTTATTTTCTTTTCAGCAGCTCAGATTTATTAAATGAGTGGTATTCATGAACTGCTTCTAAAGAGTTCGTGAAAAGGCACTAAGAAAAATTACCCAGAAATCTATGAATAATAAATTTCTAAGCGGGACCATATATCTACACAAGAACTTTTTAAGGTTCCACAAATCAAAACAATACTAAAATACTATGTTAGAATAATGACCTGAAGGGATTTTTTTTTTCCCCAAACTTCCCTTTTCACGGGTTCTACAATAACATTAATTAAACTAAATTCAACAAGCAAGCAATCATGAGGAATTTCTTACTTTAAGTGCTCTCCAAAGACAGTAGTTATCCGGTACAGTGCTGTCTTCAGAGACGCTCTAAGTGCAAACCGTAGTGTTTTGTAGGATGTGTCCACCAGGCTCCCTGAGACCCGGGGAGGCTTGCTAGAAACATGTGGCAGTTTGAAATGTCTGTCTACAACCTGATTGAGAAAAACATAAATGAAATCAGGTCACCTGTTCAGTTATTTCATAATGTAACCATTTGACACGTTTGTGTCAAATAAAACAAAAGAAAGTGAACATCCAGAAATTCCACCAAGACACACAAGAATGTTTTGGAGAATGAACATTTCCCAGCCATCAACAGGAACACAGAACCAAGATTCTCTGTTACTAGTCTTAACTGCCAAGCACAGCACATGCTGCAGTAGAAATACAATTACGTCCTGTATTATGACTTGTTTCTTTCAGAAGTGAGGGTATTGGCTTTTTTTCCCCCCCTTGTGCCTGTTCTTGGAATGGATGACTTACACTGAAAAACTTTAATAACCTCTAAATTCTTTCCAAGAATGTCCATTAGGACAGCGTAAAATGATTATGTCAATAGGACACGCACAACCTTGGAAATAAATCTGGATTTTTTTAAAATACACATTGAACAAACATCAGTGACTTGAGAGTAATGTCTTATTATTATGAGAGGGAACATCATACAGATCTTATCTCCTGAGTTTGCAATGTCTCCAAGTGCTCCATGTTGCACGAGGAATTGTGTACAGCCAAATACAGTCCTAACTCTGCATAAAGTATAGTAGTGTAATTTCTGCATCCCTGAAATAAGCACACAGTACCATTTTTTAATTTGAAACATTCCATGCTTTCTCCTTCTACATTTTAAAAAACAAGCAGGGTTTTTATTCAGCTGTTTCATAGTGCACACAGTGACAACCAGCTGTTTTGTTCAGATGAAGTGCAAAAGAGCTGTTTCAGTGGCAACATCTTGAGTGTGATGGTTAGTCAGCAAGGTCATAATGTAAAATTAACAAGACTCCCCCTAAACTTGTCCTGCAGTAAGGAAAAGTTAACAGTTTTACCTCCTGAAGAGTCAGTAAAGTATTCAGGATAGCTGGCAGTGTAGTTTGGACAACTCCAAACTGGTCTTCAGTAAAGGAGGCTGCTACCAAGTGAGACAGACCTTTAAAATAAAAAAAAACAACAAAGAATTTTTCTCTAATTAATGCTTCACAAGTTGAGAATTCAGTAACAAAGATCCTGGCATTGCCTGAAGAATCTACTAGTGTGGTAGAGCTCTTCAGGACTTACTGCAGCCAACTGACAGCTACCTCAGCTTTGGCTCAAGGACTAAATCAGTCACTGGTTTTATAGGTGTATTACAGCTTGAGGTTGATTAACCAAGAGAGATTATATATTTAATAAATTTTTAAAAACACATTGGCTCCCTTTTTCCACAAGACACAACAAAATCTCAAAGTGCAATCACATATTGTCATTGTTTTGATTCTCTGCAGATCATCTTTTTCTGTTTATTTGCTAAGTTACTACCTGAGTGCCTCCCTCAACTCCCTGATTAACAGAGGAGCACTCAGAGCCTTTAGTCAGAAAAGCTGCTGTAAAAAGAAGTCATAAATCTGTTGGTGGAAAAATGTAAAAGTGATACATGGCTTCACATGAGGGAGAAGCAAAAGAACTAACTTTAGGAATCTCTACAGAACATAAAGTATGAGATCTTGCATGGGATCTCAAAACTAACAAGTGAATTAGACTTTAGTCATGTTGGTGTCTGAAATGCAGTTGGGATTTTGTCAAAAAGGTTTCAAAGACTTTTTTTCTGTTATATTTATAAAGCACAGAGGCCCAGAAAGTTTTCCATGAACGAACAGAGTGGATCACCTGGAAACTCCTTACCTTCCAAAGCCCAGATATGCATTTGGGCATCAGAGAAGACAGCCTGGATGGAGGCTTCTGGGTGCTGAGAAGAAACCGAGATGCTGTGAGTGCACTTTATAAATAGTTACACCGAACCTGCAGGTTTCATTAAGGTATTACACATTCCATAGGGTCCTGTCCCTCCCCTCAGAACAGACAGGTATGGGATAATCCTTTTATGAAACTCACAGTAAGTACAAAGTTGTACTTATGGAAAACCTGAGATGAAAATACAGGATTTAGAACCATTACTCTATGACAAGGTACAAAAGGCCACAGCAGAGCCCAAGTGCTCCTGCATTTCTAGTCCCTGCTGCTCAGTCCCAAACACAGGATCACCCTTACCTTGCTGAAGAAATACATTATCAGTGCCCGTCTAGACAAGAAGTTTTTTATCTGAAAAGGAACAAAAGATTAAACTTATCATCTCTATTTATCTAAGGTCTGCACAGTTGGCCCTCCTCAACCCTACCATCTTCACACAGTATAGAGGCACTGGGGGATAAGGGGAGGGAAGGATCTGTGTTATGTAAACTGGTGGAGAAGGAAGTATCTATACTTCTATAAAATGGGAAGTTCTTCCAAAGATAATACCCAAGGTGCACCCCATATATACACTGCAGTTTTACTCTACCTGTTCTTGCTTGTTCTGAAGCCATGTGTAAATAAATTTGGGCTGTACTGCCTCGCTGCCAGCTTTTGCAGCAGAGAGCACTGGGAAGGGTGAATGGTGGGAACCATTCATTTGATGATCTACAAGAAAAAAACACAGTATCTTCAGAAAAACTAGCTGCTGTCACTTTATCCTCACAATACAGCTCTCCATTAACATGGCTACCACACTTATGGTACAAGACAGTGCTGTGGAAAAATCTCTACCTGAAACCGATGTCCACAGCTTTGGTCCCCGTCTCATAACAAGGGGACTTTGGAGCGGTCCATGCCAAGGGGAGTTTACATCCACAACTCCCTTCTTGCAATTTAAAGCAGGTGAGCTGAAGGGTGAAGCAATGTCAGACCCAGGAGATGTCTTCAGAGGCATTAGGGAGGGTTTAACCAGTGGAGACATGGTGGCTCTGAGAACAATGTTAGACCTCTGTGACTGGAAAGACACATCTTCTGTCCCAACAGCTCCTAATGACAAAGAACACACTGCATGGAGACAACAGGCTGGCACAGATGAAATAAGAGACAGGTTTGTTATTTCATTGCTATTTCAACAACTTCTGTATCATCAGAGCTTTTATTATAGGACATTTTTACCGCTGTGTTCTTGCAAAGAAGTACATCAGCATAAGCATGGGGTGTTTTCCAAGTTCAGCAGTTTAAGAACAGCAAGTGATGAGAAGGATCCTTGTGAATTTATTTTTCTCCTTTTGCCTGCCATCATTGCTACACCCTGGTATAGATCCACATAAAGTGGGCTATTAGGATTAAGTAGTAGAGAAGAGGCTACATATAGAAGAATGACAAGTCTTTGGCAAGTTTGGTATGTAAGAAAAGGCATGTCCCTCTCAAAATCCAAGGAACAGCAGCACCAGAAGAAATTCACCTGACATACCAACAGTCCCTGCTGTTCCCAGAGCACTGCCTGCTAAGGGATTTCATTACCTGGCAGCCTTGTGCTAACACAGCTCTGCTGCCAGGAATGATGCCCAAGTCTGGCAGGTAAAACATCCAATATGCTTGGAGGCTGCACACAGCTCAGGAGTCAGACTGGGCTTTTCTTATTCTACAGTGATATTAGTGAATCACACAAACATAAACAAAACCTAATTTTACCATCTTAAACTAATCATAAGAGCAGTTATGCAAATTGCAAAGCATCTCTTAGCAAGTTTGTAAACAAACTGGAAACATATTCTTTCAAGTTTTCTAGTTATTTTGAGATTATCTCAACAAGAATACCTAAAATGAAATTTGGAGAGAATCTTTCTTATTTGCATTTATTTCCAGAAATTCCTGTGACTCATTTTCCTCATATAGCTTAACTAAGACTAATGTACGCACGTATCTATCTTCACTTTCATGCTTTACAAACCTGTATGAGCATTTCCTCACATACCTGGGGTCTGTGGAGGTACTTTCAGCTCCCCCACTGGCTGCTTTGCTCTCCCGTTTGCTGCTGCAGCTTCCTGCTGTGCGATCAGCCTCTGGGTCAGATCACTCAGAAGACTCAAACACTCCCTTGATATTGCAGTCCAGTTGTGTGGGTGCCCACCTGACACATGCACACAAAAAGGAAGGTTTAGCCCAGCTGCTCTTCTTGTATCTGTTCTGACAGTGCCCATGTGCTCTCAGCAGGAGCTTCACAGTGACAGTACTACTCCGTTTGTAGAACGCCACAGGGCATTTCCACTGTGACAGCTTGTTTGTTCTGAGAGGAAGATGAAAACATGGACAGATTCCATCCTCCTGTCAATGGATAACTCTAAAAAGATTTCAGTGAAACCTGCTAAGCAAGCAGGAAACACAGGCAGTTCAGCCCATCTGATCTGAAATCACTGAACAAAGTAATGAACAAAGTAATATCAATGGGGAGGGCAAACAGGTCTGAAGCAGAACAAACACTAGAATTCCTGATAAGGTGTTACAAAAAGTTCCTGAACGCTTCTAAACAGTTTTAATTGGCCTTCCCTGCCATATCTTTGAATATAGCAAAAGGCATGTGTACTAACTGAAATTACAGCCAGTGTTTGCTCTCATGGCTCCAGTGGTAACTCACAATTTGTGCCCGATTTCCCCTCACTCACACCTCAACATTCAGCTTTCATACACATCTGATTGAATATCCAATCTGGACTATTTGACTGGGAGTGTGAAGAGGGCCCTGCTTTCAATATCCTAAACCTGTATGTCCTCATGGCTGTCATTTAAATCAGACACCAGAACTGTTTGAGTTTAGTAGATGAAACAATACGAATGTAGATAATTAAGCATCCTTTTGGAAAAGGCACCACAAGGGATGAGGTCTCACAAAATTGCATAACTTATAAAAGCATTTGACTAACAATTTTTAAAAAAGGAAAAGAATCAACATGAAATAGGTTTTGTAATTACCTGGCTGACTAAGGCTAAAGACTTCCTGTCGTCGAACGGGGGAGTACTGGGAAAGCAACATCAAGTCTTGTAAGGCTAAAAACTAACAGGAGAGGAAAATGTTTTAGTGCATGCAAAGTCCAGTGTATTTCCTTAAAAAAGTATGTAGTTACCCATACAAAATCAATCACTACCAAAGAATGAGTTCACACAGACTAAAACCAGCCATAAAACAGGAAAAGAAGAGAGACAAATTCCTAGAACTGCTCTGGATGTGGCTGCTGAGTTGGTAAGAGCTTCTGAGAACTTCACTGAAATTCTTAAGAGTTCAAGAAGATCTAACACTATTTTTTATCTCAGCAGTTCAGGCAGAAGGAGCCTAAGACACAAAAAAGTCTAAGGAAAGAACTGTTTTTGCAAACCAGAGCTCAACTACAGCTTTAGGGTCAGTGCCTTACAGGACCAACCTAACGCTCTTTTTCATGTGATAATTAACATGCACAATATGCATGACCCTCATAAATTAGGCGTTTTTAGTAACATCTGAGATTATAAGTTGTGCTGTGCTCAACTCTTCTCCACACATCCTCTGATAACACAGCTAAGCTTAAAAAGGCATTGCAGCCTATTGTATCTTCAGCCTTACCAGAAATCTGTACAATCAATAAATGTGGATTTTGCGTGTGCAGGAGAAAGCTCTTATCTTTATTTACATAATACTTCTTATATGAGGACTCCAATTTTTAAGTATTACAATCAGTAAGTCCTATTAATGATTACCACAGACCAAAATTCCTCTTCTTTACTCACAGTACACACCAATACACTCATGTTGCAAACAGATGTTTCCCTCTAACTAAAGGAATCCTTACAGTAATGGCGTGGTGAGCACCAGCAGATGTCACTACTAAACAAATTTTCACCATTAAGTGTACCGGCCTTTGTAAATGTTCTGAGGCAGCTTTTCAAGGAACTGGCACCTCAGTTAACAGAACTGGTACCTGGAAGATGTGACTGAGTGCTCTGGCAAACACCTCAGCACACAGCCAGCAGGGAAGGTGGTGGGAGTTCAATTACCTTTATAAGGAGGGGAGGATTGCTGTTTAAGATTTTAGGCAGGCACTGGTCTGTCTCCTCAGCAAATGTTGGCTGGACAGGAAAATGATGAGTCTAAATACAAATATCAGAAGCTGTGTTATACAGAGGAAAACACAAGAAAACCTTATGAAAAACCACACCTGAGCTGTTACTTGTCAGGTGAATGCTGAGATATAAAAGCACATAATCCACTGCTCCAATTCACTGTAAACTGACCTAGAATTTCTAACATGTAACAAAAAGACTTGACTCCTTATGTTTAAAATTGAAAAATCTCAGAAGAATTCAGATATTTTTATCTTAAAGTACCTTCCATGTAGCCACAGAATACATAGCTAGGGGCATCATATCATTATGAAAGAAATTCCTCTAACCACTTACCTGTGAAAAACTAGTGATACCATCTTCCAAAACAAGACTGAAACCTGAACTGCAATGTCTGTCTTGACCTGGGTAACCACTGGTGAAGAACTAAGCATTCTTTTACCAAATAAGAAAAGATTTTTAAAATTCTTCTTTTGCACTGTTCCACTGACAAACAAAAAAATTCTTATTTTTATCATCATAATTTTCATGTCCTGTGTTTTAATAGAATTCCTGTGACTACAACATTTAAAATGTGAATAGCAGTGCTTGAATTGTATCAAACATCACAACTTTTTAATTCTATTTAACACGTTTCAGTTTGGGCACAGATTTAACTGTTAGTTTTATGTTACTGCACTCATCTTACACATCATAGCTTTATTCTCCTCTGTTTCCAACTGCAAAATTTAAATTTGAGATAGCAATTGCTTTCAAAGCATTAACAAATGGACTTTAAATAGACTAAATTTCTTTCAT